TTTGCTGCATCTGTGTTCCTTTGGGAGCAGAGCCTGTGGCTTGGACCAAAACCCTCTGAAAGAAGAAGACACAGTAACAGACACTTACTCTCAGTGTGTAACACAGGTGAGTCAGGTATTCCCTGTCTATCTCTAATGGGAAGCTTGCCTCTTTCTCCAGTAGCACTAGTACCCCTTACTCAGCATCCCTACAGTTCCCATCCTTCCAATGCAGTCTGCACCAGACACCCACCTTAACCCAGTACCCCAAACTTGGGAAAACCTAGATCAACATTTTCTGACATGGTTCATCTTCAAGTCTCCACACAAGGAAATAACAACAGCTCAACATGAGGTTCAGTTGCAGTTAAACGAGAACCACTCATTCACATTCTCCTCCTGTGGCTGCAAAGTTTCTACCCTTAGGGCTGCTATTCCAAACCACCCTCTGCCTCCTGCAACAAGAAATCCCATTCTCCAAGCGCCACAGCCCTTACAGTTTCTACCAGCACCCAAGCTCCCATGAAGTATCTCCCTTTGGTGCCACCAAGGGCACAAAACTGCTTTGCCTTGCCTTGCCTTGCCTTGGTCACTGTCCTCTACCTTTTCACTGTCATTTCCATTGTCCCCCTGCTCTTTGTGCTGGCATTCAGTTTGAGGTTGGACACACACCTCAGAGAGTGCTCAGCACCTTGCAGATCCAACAAAACAAGCACAGGGATGTGGTGGATGGAAAGAAACGATTCAGTGAGGCCCAAAGCCAAGTATCAGTATGGTCTTTTAAACCAATGAGGACCTTCTCCAAGGAGACAGTCATCCTCTGTGGGCTGAGGCTTTAAAAATACCCAGCAGATTGGGCCAACAGAACAAAAAGCTGCCAAAGAATCCCACATGGATCCTAGAAGAGACCTTGACAATTACTGGCTACCTTATAGACATATGCTTCTGATTTTTAGCCCTCTGGCTGGAATTATTCATCCCCAACCTGTAAGATGAGGCCATCCTGTTCGTACAGCCTTTGCTCACACTGAAAGGTAGACCAGTGATCAACAACACCAAAGGCTTCAGCCTCACACCAGTCATGCTGCCAGCAGTTCATCCCTAGTGTTTTCTTTGTCCTGCTGGTGAGAAGGGAAGGCTCTGGATGCTTCTCCTCTTCAGTAATCTTCCATGATCCTCTGAGTCTTCCTTAATCCATGGAGTTCCACTCCATACTCCGTGTCATGATGACAACACCGGCACAGGCTGGATGGGTAATTTCATAATCCAAAGCCAATGGGGTTTCTAAACTTCTTTAACATGTTGTCACAGTCAGATTCACGCAAATGACTGACGATCCCTAAAATACTTGACACTACTGCTCAGTGGTATCCATATCATTCCAACAAGAAACGTTGTCCAGAGAAATCCAAGATGGGAAGTTTGAGAGGTGACAGTGAGCTGGGCAGCGACGTGAATGTCCACGTCTACTGGGGAGATGCTCCTACCAATTCACAGCTTCTAATTGTTCCTTTTCATCAGCATCCAATGGTAGCTACTTCTGTTCACTTGGGAGTTGGAAAGGATGTAGCTAAGTTACACCCACCCATCCTCTTATCCCTCCAGCTTCCTGCGACAAATACTTCTTTTGAGAGTTCCCCAAAAGGCACAAAAAGGAACAAGTTTTACTTAACCCTTCCCGTTTTCAACCAGGCAGTTTCATTCATCAGTCGAAGCTATAATTTCTCTCCCATCAGGAGACCTCCCAAGTGCATCACATTCATGTATTAGAATCATGAACATCCTCCCCCCCCCCCCCCCA